AGGTGCCGGGCCGGGCCGGGTGGGCAGCCCTGGGGACAGGCTCTTCCTGTACCTTCCTAGTTGATGCCCACTTTTCTGTTTTCTTCAGAAGGTTCTCCGTGCAGAGATGTGCCCGCTGCCACCTTGGGATCTCAGCCTCTGAAATGGTCATGAGAGCCAGGGAGTCGGTTTATCACCTGAGCTGTTTCACCTGCACCACCTGCAACAAGACTCTGACCACAGGCGATCACTTTGGCATGAAGGACAACCTGGTTTACTGCAGGGCCCACTTCGAGTCCCTTTTGCAAGGAGAATATCCCCCTCAGCTGAGCTACACTGAGCTGGCTGCCAAGAGTGGAGGGCTGGCCCTGCCTTACTTCAACGGCACTGGCACAGTCCAGAAGGGGAGGCCCAGGAAACGAAAGAGCCCTGCCTTGGGAGTGGACATCGTCAACTACAGCTCAGGTGGGAAACACACACTGCACCTCCTGCTCCTCAGGAAAGAGCCTTCTCGGGCTTCCCCTCTGCTCAGCAGTGCGGGAGTAACTCAGCCAGGCCAAATCTTGCTTAACCATTGGAAAATCAAACAAACAGCCCTCTGAGGGTTGGAGCGTATGCAGGAAAGCTAACAGCAGCCCTCCTCAAAGGCTGTCTTCGCCTATTAATGTCAAACACCCAAACTTAGCCACTTCCCAGGTCAAAGACAACCCCCCCCCCCAAACCACAGCTCTCTATAGGAACCTCAGAGATACTGTTATCGTTATTTGTATTTTATTAATGAAAAACACTTCACCATTTAGACCTCAAATTAGAAGTACCTAAACGGATCAGCAGAAAATAAATCTAGAGGAAAAATTACACTATATGACTCCTAAAGTGGCAGTGGAATATGCAAGTAAGTCAATACAGATATCCAATTCATACTAATGAATTAATTGGACTAAATAATCCCGTTTTACTGGCACATAAACAATCACAGTGAACCAAGAAGCCAACGAATAAATGTTGTTCCCTATAACTGAACCCTAACAAATGAAATTAGCAGGAAAGGTTTCTGTTCTCTTAGCAGCAGGAAATGGAACAAGTGTTGCCCTATATTAAATTTCTTCTCTACCTCCAGTCACCTAAGTTCTCAAACTGTGTCCATACACACAATGTTATGGGCTGCAGGCAGAAGAGTTGCACGTATGACCAAGCAATTTAAACGGGGCTGCATTAGACTAAAGACGAAAAGTAGTAAGGGTAAATCCGAATTAAAAAGCTACTGACTTAAAAGATGATTTTAGCGAAAGTTAAGTTATGCATGGACTTTAACGAGGATAGAAGCGCGTGGGAAGGAAAAGCAGTGCAAGGGCAGGCTGGTGCCCTCCTTTCGGGATGGGCACGGAGCAGTGGGCCGCGGCAGGGAGCGGAAACGGGCCCGGACGGGCGGCTCGGCCAGG